GCAGTGGCGGTCCGCGGCGTACTGCTCGAAGAGCTTCTTCGCGCAGCTCTCCGAGGACACCACGGACTTCATCGGCGGCCTCTGCGACGAGCTCGGCGGGGCGGGCGAGCACGGCCCTCTGCTGGTCGAGGTGGGCTGCGGCACCGGCGAGGCCCTGCTGCCCCTCTCCGTGGGCACGGGCGCCCGCTGCCGCTTCGCGCTGGGGATGGACTTCAACCCCGCCTTCATCAGCTACTGCCGCGAGGCCGTGCCCGAGGAGTGCCGCAGCCGCGTGAAGCACCTTGTGGGCGACGCCACGGACCTCGTGGGCCTGTGCCACCGCGAGCTCCCGGTCGAGTGGCTTGCCGGGGGCCGGCCCAAGGTCGTCACCTGCGTCGGCAACACGATCGGCATCATGCCGCAGGAGGTCCGCGCGAAGGTGTACCAGCAGATGATGGAGCTCGCGGGGACCGACGGCTACATGGTGGTGGTGTACTGGAACGGCAACAGGTTCGGGGACGCCGTGCAGAATTTCTACTACAAGAACCCGCAGCTCTGCGGCGAGTTCACGGGAGCGAGCGTCGACTTCGACACCTGCACGCTGACGACGCCCAGCGGCTACAGCACGCATTGGACGAAGCCAGAGGAGGCTCGCCACATTTTCGAGACGGAGATCGGCGCGCGGGTGGTGAAGCTGCAGGAGAGTGGCAACGGCGTTCTGGTCGCCGGGCGGGCGATGTGGCCCTTCTGAAGAGCAGGCCAGAGCCACGGCGGAGCATGGGGGGGCCGATCGGTGTGGTGCGCACGGCGCCAACCCATCGATATCACGGTGGCTGTGTCTGTTATCCCGCTGCGGAGGCAGGGATTTTAGACGTGCATAGGGCTTTTTTTTGTTGGCCTGCCCGTGGCAAGCCGCATCACAGTGCCAGCGTGGCAGCGCAGCATGGAGGAGGAGAAGGATGATGATGATGAGGAGGAGGAGCAGGAGAAGGAATGGGAGACGGAGAAGGAGGAGGAGGAGAAGGAGGAGGCGGAGGAGGGGGAGGAGGCAGAGGAGGATCTGGTCTTATGTGGGCGATAATACATCAATGCTGACTTGATTTTTCAACCAGCGGCGTGAAGGTTTGAAGAATGAGGAGGAGCAGGAGGAGCAGGAGGAGGAGGAGGGGGAGGAGGAGGGGGCAGGAAGAGGAGTGGGAGGAGGAGGAGGAGGAAGAGGAGGAGGAGGAGGAGGAGAAGGAGGAGGAGGAGGGGGAGGAGCAGGTGGAGGGGGATCTGGTTTTCTTGGGGGGATACATCCATGCTAATTTGATTTTTTCAGCCAGCGGCTTGACGATTTGAAGTGGCGGAGGGGTGCGCCCTTTCTCGCACAACGAATATATTGCAATCGACCACATCTCATTTCAATGTACGGTGTTCTGGTGTCTTTATCGTCTCCAGGGCCCAGCCAGTCCCATCAAGGGCTAAATCCGTCGTGGGCCAAGAAGGGTCACACGCGACACGCCCCATGTTGATGGTGACATCTTTTCGAGCAGGGGCAGGCGACATTGCCAGGGTTTATCATGGCTCACGGCATGCGTCCATACGCGCGTGCCTAATACAGCGGGCGAGGGAGGCAGTTGAGTGCGAGTTTTGATGTGATTTTGTTCCTACCTGAATGCGTGGCATGCGCCCCATGCACGGAGGCAGCCGAACGTGGGCCCGATTTTGGACCATTGTGGAGTATGCGGCCTGAGGGAGAGAGAGTGAGAGAGACAGGGAAAGAGAGAGAGAGAGAGAGCGAGAAAGAGAGAGAGAGAGAGAGGAGAGAGAGGGCGATAGAGAGAGGTAGACAGAGCGAGATGAGATAGAGAAGAGAAGAGAGAGAGAGAGAGAGGAGGGGAGATGAGCGAGAGAGGCGGGAGGGAGGGAGGGCCAGAGGGAGGACGGGCGGGAGAGGGAACGATCCTGGAATGATGCCCCCCCGCCAGGGGGGGGCGTCCGAAAGGGCTAGAATGTTAGAATGTTGTAGGCTGCCCCTGCAGTCCCAGTCCACTGGCGGTGCTGGCGCGGTGTGTTGAGGAGGGGACAGCTTTTTAGTTCATCATTTTGATAGGGGGGGCAGCAAGTTGGTTTGTTTGTTTTCATGCCTTTGTCCCCCCCCCCCGGAGGGAGCGACCCTGGAAGGATGCCCCCCCCCTGCCGCCCGCGGTGGCGCCGGGGGGGGGGGGGGGCGAAAGGGCTAGAGTGCTGTAGGGTGCCTCCGCAATCCCAGTCCAGCGGGGGGGGGGCCAACGAGCTGTGTGTGTGTGTGCGTGTGTGTGACACCAGCACACATACGCACATGCGCACACCACCACCTCCTCCTCTCCCTCCCCCTCCCTCTGCCACCTCCCGCTTCCTCTGCCACGCCCTCCGCGTCCTTCTTCCGCCCCCCCCCCTTCTCGCTCTGCCACCTCCTCCTCCCTTCTCTACCCAGTTTACGCACGGCGTTGCCACAGGGATTCTTGCTGAGCGTACCTTTACTACAGGCATCCTCAATACGTATTCCTCATTAAACGTGTTCTTAATCCATATTCGTTGTTCACGACATCCTTACTGGCGAATGTTTGTCCAACGCATCCTCGCTATTGATTCCTCACCAAAAGGGGTCCTTCCTTACGTTCCCTGGATCCAGGTATCCTGCCTGAGGTGTGACTGATAAACTTGCCCTTACCAAGGGCAAAACGATACGTGGAAAGCTTACTAAGGGCCTCCTGCTCCAACCGATCTCTAGCAACGGCCCCAGTTGAGGCTAGCGCATGGCGTACCATAGGAGCGCCGTTGGCTGTGCTTGCCGGGGCCATTGTTGTGTGGAGCCCTCGTAAAGGCATCTTCGCCGAAGGGGGCACTATTGAAACACATTCAGCACATCCAGGGGACCGTATTAAAACACATTCAGCAAGCCCAGCACTACGCGTCCTTTACTAAAGGCATCTATACTCAAATAACCCGTGCTACAGCACACATGATTGGTGATTGTGGATTGCGCAGGTGTTTTACAGAGTGGATCCGTATTGCAGGCACCCTCATTGATGACCCGCCACTAAAGAGATCCTCTCATACGAGTTCAGTGGCGAAGAGTTCCCATTCAAACGACTGCATGCGTCCACACGATAGACGTCCAAACTAAATACGCATGGATTAAGGATCCTTTTGTAAAACAGGTAGCATTCTTTATTACTGCGTGTTAAACTGAAGGCACCCGAATTCAGGAACACTTGTTCAAAAGGGGTGACAGGGTGACAGTAAGGAACCGTTACCGCTTACATGGACTCTTACTCAGGACACCGTCACGAAATGCATCCACACTAAAGACGTCATACTACATGCATCCTGCCTACAGGCCCCATGACTGAAGCAAGGTTTCTTACGTAATATGTGCCCAAAGAAGCATGATCTCACATGGATCCTTAGTGGTGGCAACCTTTATCATAGACATCCCTACGAAGGCTTCCTCACTACAGGGTCTGCGCTAAAGACCCCTTGCTGAATGCATACTTACTGACGAATGCGTATCAAAGGCACCCACACTAAGGATGTCTCACTCAAGTGAACCTCCTCCAGGGTCCCTTGATGCAGGCAGCCTTACAATCCCACGCGTACTGAATAATGCCTCAGACAGGAACCCGCACTAAGGAGGGAGGGAGGGAGAGAGAAGAAGAGAGAGAGAGAGAGAGAGAGAGAGAGAACTCATTTCCTCCTGCCACGATCCCCCTCTGTGTTATGGGCTGTGCGAGAGCGCAGCTAGGCCTCCTACCCAATTCCTCCTGCAGAAGATCTCCTTACCAATGGACCCCGAACCCCTGTGAAAGAAATTGGTGGTAATGGACCCTTCCTACAGAGAGAGAGAGAGAGAGAGAGAACGACAAAGAGAGAACGAGAGAGAGGCACATGTATAGAGAGAGAGAGGAAGAGAGAGAGAGAGAGAGAGATACTGAGAACGAGAGAGAGAGAGAGAGCGAAGGCCCCCCCGAGAATGGTCCTCGAAAGTCCAACCCAGCGCCTCTTGGCAATGGGCTGGAACTCAAAGGACTGTGATGCTGGAGGAAGTGGAAGACGAAGAGGGAGGAGGATGAAGACCCTGAGGAGTATGAGGCGTGAGGCCGCCCAGGTCTCGTGTGCCAGAACGCGTGCTCCACAATGGCCGGGCCTCTCTTTTCGAGCAAGGGGCTTCGGCATTGCCAGGGTCCCCCATGGTTCACGGCATGCGCCCATACGCGCGTGCCTGATACAGCGGGCGACGGTGGCAGTTGAGTGCGAGTATTGATTTTGTTCCTGCCTGCCTGGCTTCGTTTGGCTTCGAGGCAGCCGAACGTGGGTCCGATGTTGTTCCTGCCCGTCGCGTGTGGAGCACGGCCAGCGACGGAGGCGGCCGCATGCGAGTGTTGGTGTTCGTCCCTGCCCGACTTCGTGGAGCGTAGCTGGCGGCGGTCGACACCGCATTTTCGCAGTTTGGCAGTTCAGGACTCGGGTCTCCTCCTCTGCTGCTTGACGCGTTGGGCCAAGTGACATACCAAGAGCGTCGTTGCAAGAGAAACGTGCGAGAGACAAACAACACGCATCAACTCGATGCGTTTCTTTGTTCTTGGGCTCGGGCCCATGCTTAGGCCGTTGGGTCTGGGGATGGCAGTCGAAGAAGGACAACCACTGCATTAACATCGTTTCTCGGAAGGCCGCGCGGATTTCTTGGATCGGCGCTGGACCCCCCTGGTGGCGATTCTGGAGCTGCCCCTGGCGATGGGACTGAACCCCGCAGGATCCAGTGGACGTTAACAGCAAGAGGTTCCCACAGCTCCAAGCGAACGTAAAGAGGTGCGCCGCTAAGCACGAGTTATGCCACACACTCGTCTGTGCGAGTTGCCAGCTGCGTTTCGGGCGGTCCTGAGCAGTGACGATTTGTTGCGTGTTCCCTGAGTCTGATTTGGAAGCGGCGAGATCCAGCAGTCTCAATGTAATGAGCCTCATCAGAGTACAGGGTCAAGTGCTGACGTTGATCTTGATTACCAGCGGGCCAGTGGTCTTCCAAATGAGAATGATAGATTTGAGCTTTTCTTTAACGATTTGATCCGATCGGACACTTTTCGTGAGGCTCGCAGGGTGAATTGCACATGTCCGTTGAGACGGCGGACGTGAATTATGTGTGTGTGTTTTCTTGTGCTGCTGCGTACCACAAGGTTTTCATTATTTGAGGCGCGTTCGCCTTCGGCATTGATGATCTGCGTTTCCCCTGAGTCTGATATTGAAGTGACGACGACGTGCATTCTCGCCGCTACGAGCCTCATCTGAGCCGTGCCGCTGTCGAGCGCAGAGTGCGCCGCACGGTGTGTCGTGATGTTGGGCATGCATGTCTTGTTGTCTAGCAGGTGCATTCAAGTTGGTTTCTCCACGTGTTTCTGTCTTGTGCTGACCCTCGCGAGAAGTCTGCCCAGTGATGTGGCCGAACTGTGCCACTGCATGCTCGGAGCATTGGCCCGCGCCGCAACAGTCTCTCTTACCTTCGGCTTCCGCGTCGTTCAATCGAAGACCGGTCTCGATGGAACGACTGTCGCGTTGTTTAGCCCGTTGTCCAGTTGACGAGACTGTGCAGTCTCGCAGAGGCCCGCCTCCTTTGACCCTGACTTGGTTGAGCATTCACGCATGTGTAGCTTTCGTGCCAACGTCTTCTTTTATGTTCTCTCTCTTGAGGGTTGTGAGATTGCCATGCCTATCGTCGAGCACGGGTTACTGCGAGCTGCAAGGTTCGCACCGGCCTGTCCCAGGCAGAGACGGTTTGCGTTTCCTTTGATTCTGATCCGAACGTGACGAGATCAAGCGGTCTCAAGGCTACGGGCTCAATTTGAGTCCAGGGTCAAGTGCCGATGTTGATCTTGATTAGCGGCAGGCCATTGGTTCTTCAACTCAATTATTGACCCCATTTTGTCTCTAACGTTTGAACCCGATCCCTCACTTTGCATGAGGTTTGCAGAAACGGCAGAAGTGGCTTATTCTCCAAGCAGGCTGCTTTCATCCCAGTTTAGCCGTTCACGGCCAAGCTATCCAAATGGTTCCTTCTGTATCCGCATTGCTTCCTCCGTGTCCGCATGCTTTCCTCTGCTATCTGCATGGCTTGCTCTGTATCCGCATGGCACCATCTGCTATTCCAATGGCTCCTTGTAACTATCTCAATGGCGTTCCGACGGTCGTCCAGCAATCGTGAAGCTCAGATTTCGAGTGCAGAGTAAAGACGAGCCGAGCGGTGTAGTGTACAGGGTAGAGTAGATCAATGCAGAGTAGAGAAGATATGATGATAGCAGCATCGTAAAGTAAAACGGAGTAAAGTAGAGTAGAGCATGGCAGAGTAGAGTAGAGAGGATGCGAGTTGAGCATAGTAGAGTAGGCGTAGGACAGAGTAGATAAGATGAAAGTCGAGTAGGCGTAGAGTAGAACAGCGTAGAGTGGAGTAGAGTACAGCATGCCAGAGTAAAGCAGAACATAGCAACGTAGAGAAGAGTATGTTTAGATGAAACTAGAGTATATTAGGGCAATAGTAGAGCAGAGCAGAGTCGGGTAGGGTCGAGGAGAGCAGAGTAGAGTAGGACTGGCGCCGAGAAAGTCTGACGTCCAGCTAGTGTTGACATCCCAAATCCCACCAGTCCTTCGGGCGCAGTTGGTGTAGGGAGGCTCCTCGTCTAACCTCCAATCTTCCCCTTCGTGGAGGGGTTTACCCCTTCCCCCCCCTGGACCTGGACGGGGTTGGTCGCGGGTAGTTGGGCCGTCCAACATGGCCCAAGACGGCTCAAAGAGCGGTTCGGACAGCCCAAGATGACCTCCAAGATGGCTCAAGACAGCGCACGATCTCTCAAGATGGTTTTCAAGATGCTCCAAGAAGCCCCAAGAACGCTCCAAGACGGCTCCCAGAGGCCTCCAGGTGGCTCCACGATGGCCATCCGAAGCCTCAAGGTGGCTCCAAGAGGGAGAGAGCCCCATGAGAGGCCCAAGATAGTCCTACAACTGCCCCAGTATCGCCCAAGAGCGCTCCAAGAGTGTTCCAAGAGGGGTCCAGGAAATGATTTTTGGGGTTCCCCGGGAGGAGGCTGATTGGAGCTCCCATATTTTTTTGTGGATCGATGTCTTCGAAGATGTCCCCAAGAGTGCCCCTAAAGCTCCGAAGAGCGCCCCAAGAGGGCCCCAAGAGGCGCCCAGCAGGCCTAAGAGGCGCCCGAGAGGCCCCCAAGAGGATCTCAATAGACCCCCAAGAGGCCCCCAGAGGTTCCCGAGGCATTCGAGACGCTCCAAGAGGCCGACAGCCAAGAAGCCTCCAAAGCGCTCCAAGGGGCCTCCAGAAAGCGTCCAAGATGCATCCGAGGAAACTCGAGGCAACTCGCCTGGGCATCGTTTCTGAATGGGCTGGTAGGGGAACTCTTTGATCGCGGCCGCAGCGAAAGAGGTCGGGCGGCTTCCAGGAGCGATGCGCACGGGCAACGGCTAAATTCGCGCACAAGAAGAAGGAGGGGCGAAAAGAGACAATACCAAGCAAGGGGAAAGGCTAACAGAAGGCGAGCGTCGCTTCCGCTCACAAGAGAGCGAACGCCAGGAAATCCTTCCGGGCGACGAGCAAACTCTGGTGGGGAAACTTTTTCGGTCGCGGCCGCGCGACAACGGTCTGGCGGCGAGAGGCGAAAGGTGGGGAAACGCGAAGCGTTAAGAGATTGCATTGGTGATGTTTGCCTACGGAGTCCGTGCAGACGTAGGAACACAATTAAATGTCGGGGCAGCGTAGGTGCATGCAGTGCGACAAAGATGAGCGCAGCCCGAGGTATCCCAAGAGTCAACGGTGAATGTGTTGCGTATTGTGCCTCAGTTGTTTGTCTACAGTGGTTGCTTGAGTCGAGAGCAACTTAGTCTTTGCTCGCAACTTGGAGTTGCAGTCGATATGCTGAAATAAGGATCCTCTGGCGGGGCTCCGGCTTCAGGCCGTTCCTTACGTCCACGTCGGGGGTCCTATTCGTTGCCGTGGCCAGGATCGCCTCTTGTGCTTTTTAGTCAGCGTTCATTATTGTAGCACGGTGATTGTTAAGGTCCCTACCTGTAGCCGAAGTCCCGAAGGGTTTCATACGAATGGCACGTGGTGTATTGTTCTCCCCCGGCAGTTGGGGCTAAATCCAGGTGGAGAGAATGCCAGCGCGCCAGCCGCGCTTGCCGCGGCCGCCAGGTCAAAACAACCCTGAGAGTCCCTGAATATCCCGCATGGCCAACCTTGCATACCTTTGCCTTCTGCTCCTCCGCCTCCTCCTCCTCCTCCTCCTCCTCCTCGTCCTCCCTCTTCGTGATCCTTCCTCCTGAGGTTTATGTAGCCCCTGGGGTTGGACCGCGCGTGCAGGACTTCCCGCGCGGCACGGGCCGCACTGGCCCCGCGCGGCGGTGGCCTTTGGCTGCGGGAGCGTCGAAAGTGCCTCGAAGCCTACATGGCGCCATCTGCACGCGGAGGAGGCCGAACGCAGCAGTCCGAGTGAGAAAATTATCGGAGGTCCGCGCGGCTCCGTCGGACCGGCGCTGGACCCGCACAGGGTGGACGGGCCGGTGGAGGCAGCATGTCCGCGCTCCAAGCTCGATGCGTTTCTTTCCGCAGCCATTTTGGTTGAGCTGTTCTGCTGCTCAGAGCCCCGGTGCTCTTTCGGCCCCAGCCGGCGCTCTTGCGGCCCTCTTGTGCAATGGTGCTGGTCAGGTCGCCCGCCCTGGCCGCCTGGAGGCGCCTGCGCCCGCCGGCCCGCCTCGGCCCCCACGCCCTCGGCGCCGCGCAGGCCCGGGCGGCCTCCGCTCACTGCGCCACCGCCGCGCTCTCCGGGCCCCCAGCGCGGCCCCCTGTGGCGCCGAGGCCCGCCAACGAGGACTGGGCCAGCTTCAGCGTGGAGCAGTGGCGGTCCGCGGCGTACTGCTCGAAGAGCTTCTTCGCGCAGCTCTCCGAGGACACCACGGACTTCATCGGCGGCCTCTGCGACGAGCTCGGCGGGGCGGGCGAGCACGGCCCTCTGCTGGTCGAGGTGGGCTGCGGCACCGGCGAGGCCCTGCTGCCCCTCTCCGTGGGCGCGGGCGCCCGCTGCCGCTTCGCGCTGGGGATTGACTTCAACCCCGCCTTCATCAGATACTGCCGCGAGGCCGTGCCCGAGGAGTGCCGCAGCCGCGTGAAGCACCTTGTGGGCGACGCCACGGACCTCGTGGGCCTGTGCCACCGCGAGCTCCCGGTCGAGTGGCTTGCCGGGGGCCGGCCCAAGGTCGTCACCTGCGTCGGCAACACGATCGGCATCATGCCGCAGGAGGTCCGCGCGAAGGTGTACCAGCAGATGATGGAGCTCGCGGGGACCGACGGCTACATGGTGGTGGTGTACTGGAACGGCAACAGGTTCGGGGACGCCGTGCAGAATTTCTACCACAAGAACCCGCAGCTCTGCGGCGAGTTCACGGGAGCGAGCGTCGACTTCGACACCTGCACGCTGACGACGCCCAGCGGCTACAGCACGCATTGGACGAAGCCAGAGGAGGCTCGCCACATCTTCGAGACGGAGATCGGCGCGCGGGTGGTGAAGCTGCAGGAAAGTGGCAACGGCGTTCTGGTCGCCGGGCGCAGGATGTGGCCCTTTTGAAGAGCAGGCCAGAGCCACGGCGGAGCACGGGGGGGCCGATCGGTGTGGTGCGCACGGAGCTGGCCCATCGATACCACGGTGGCAGTGTCTGTTATCCCGCTGTGGAGGCCGGGATTTTAGACGTGGGATTTTAGACGTGCATGACGGTCCTTTTGGCCTGCCCGTGGCAAGCCTCACCACAGTGCCAGCGCGGCAGCGCAGCAGGGAGGAGGAGGAGGAGGAGGAGGAGGAGGAGGAGGAGGAGGAGGAGGAGGAGGAGGGGGAGGGGGTGGAAGGGGAGGAGGAGGAGGAGGAGGAGGCGGAGCAAGAGGATGGCGAGGATGAGGAGGAGGAGGGGGAGGAAGGCAAGCTAGGTGCGCTCGCGTCATATCTGACGTCCT